CTAGATTATGGGAATGAAAGAGAGAAAGCCTGTCGAGAAAGAAAAAGAAACCAAAATTTGCAGTCTGACTTAATGCTACGTACAAAACTGCTTCAGTCCTTAATAAATTGAACTGCTCAGTCTTGCCTGCCCTTAACTCCTGAAATATATCTATAATATAGAGAAACTTTACAAAATAATAATAATAATAATAATAATAATAATAATAATAATAATAATAATAAAAATTTAGATGCTGCCCAACTTATTTATATGTGACTCTGAAATATTTATAAAGTCAAATAAAAATCTTTATGAACCTTTAAATTTATTTCTATGAGAACCGGGGAGGGGAAAAGATAATAGAAGAAGCATAACAGACACACTAACAGTGCTGTTACATCTCCATTAAAATCCTTTCTAGAATTCTGATTTTTTTAAGTGAGTCATCACTTTCCACTAGATTTTTTAAAACTCTTACCTGAAATGAAAATAAATTTGTAAAGTTGGAAATCTGGGGAAAATTATTGTCTGTGGTACATGGGGAATAAACAAAGTATAACTGCTGTCCCCTGTAGATGCTTGTGATTAAAATAAAAGAATTGCTCTGAAATTCTTGAGTATGAGAAAATTGAATTATGGAAACAGCTGAAAGTCCATGAAGGTTGAAGATGTCTTGGTTATTTCTACAACAGGTTGTACTATAATGTGTTTAGTTCTGGCAAATTTGCATAGGAAACTAGCCATGATATCTAATCCTGAACATAGTTCTACAGACTTCTACTTAAAACAGCCATTTCCAAATCAGACTGATTTGCAATTTAGATTATTGTGATACTATGAACAAAGAGAATCCTAAATATGAACCATACTGAATTACTAAAATGATTGTAGTTTTCAATAATGCCTAGCAGTTAAATACATACAACATAAATAGCTTATTTATAATTATTTTACTCATGTCTGTAGTTTTCATTACATTATTTACTTAATTACATTATTTACAGTATAATGCACAGTGTTTAACTAATCAGACACAAATCAGACATAATAGCTCAGTACAAGAAATCACATGGTATTAAGCAATACTGACTACACACCTTGTTAAGTATCTGGTTGCAGAGAAGAGAAGGGAGAATTAGACTTTTGATCAAGGAGCTGAAGAAGTAAAGAACAAGCCATAAGTGTAGAGTTTTTGATGACAGAAATGAAAGCGACTAATCTACAAAGAGCATCAGAAAAGAGAAATGTTATCTACTATGTGAAAAGAAATGGTAAGCTACTCTGGAGGATCCAATCATGCACACTTAATTAGGTCCAAGAGAATTCAATGTGACTTATTTCTAAATAAACATACATAGTATCTGTCTGCTCTACCTAGAAAGCTGACTTCAGAAGAAATTACTCATACTGGTCCTAATAAAATCAATTAAGTCATGTTAGTCAAGATTATTGTTAACTATTTCAAACTTCAGTGACACTAAAACATAGCTAACTTCCTCTAGATTCTAGCTAGAATTTCTACATAGAAATAGGCAACAATAAACTTCATAAAGAACTCTAAACTCTTTGCCTGAATATTTTATTATCTTTCAAATGGCAACAGCTCAGCAATAATTTTGCTAAAAGTTGATAGAAGGTTGTAGAGTTGCAGAAAGAGAAAAGAAACAAAACTTTAAGGATTCTTGAAATTATTATCTAAATAGTATAAAAAGAAATATCTTGATATAAAATATATAGTTTGCATTATTTTAATGTTTATGTAATGTTTATGGTAGTTTTTCATTATTTATTAAGATCTGCATTCTGACAAAAATGTTATGGATATATCAGGAAATGAAACCTTCCAGGAAGCTGGAAAATACAATTTAGTATATAATCCTGAAGGATCGTTTGTAAATGTAAATGAAAAATGCAAATGACTGTAATACTTAATTTAGTATACAACTATTAAAATATTTACCAATCAATTTAAAGTCTTTGTACACATCAATGTACTTAGTTTACAGGTACACTGATTTGTGCAGAAAGAAATCCTGCTCTTTTGAAGAGCCACCTAAGCCAGTCTTTTTATGATTTTTCCTTGAGTTTATGAACTGGATCCAGATTTATTGTAGCTGCATACAACTGGGTGGTGGAGGAAGAATTCCTTGCTTCTCCTCCCATAACAGCTTCTTCACCTGTGTGAAAATATCAAACTGGCTGAATAAATAGACAAAGACATCTGTTGTGTAAATTTTATGACCCCTTATATTACAGCCCATCCCCATTCAGTAAGGCTCTTTGATTTCTGTATAGTATTTTGCGGAACTGTCATGAGAAGTAGAAATCAAAATTGCAGTTTAT